AAAAAAAAAAAAAAAAAAAAAAAAAAAAAAGAATTGAAAAAAATCCTCAAATAGCAATGCATGCTTATCTTGGTTAGCCTAAAAATGTTCTTTAAGAAATTATTGAACTGTATATACTCGAAACTCAGTAATTATCATAGAACTGGAAAGTCATTATAATCATATTAATTACATCATTTATAATTTAACTAAAATAGAAAAATTAGAACCATACACAGACCATTCATTGCTGGCATTCAGGCTGGCCCCTTAGGGACCCACCCAGCATCCTGATGTCCTCTCTCTCTTCCTGAGTCTGCGCCCACCTCTGCTTTTCTTTCTGTCCTTCTCTCTCTCTCTCTCTTCCCCTCTCTCCCTCCCTCTGTCTATTCCCTCTCCCCTCCCCCCTTTAATAATAAACTTTCTCGGTGGATTCTGTGCCTGCATGGTGTGAGAAACTGTCCGCCCTGCCCCCTTGGCCACTGGCGGCATGGTGTGTCTCCTCTGGTCAAACTTGCCAATTCCATAACAACCTTGAGTTGCATCATTAGTTTATTTATTTAATTTAATTTAAGTTTTGAGACACAGTTTCACTCTGTAACTCTGGCTATCCTGGAGGTCACTCTAGACCAGGCTGGCCTCAGACTCAAGAGAGATCCAGCCTCTGCCTCCCAAATTCTGAGATTAAAGTGTGTGTTATTTCCGCTCTCTCTCTTTTTTCTTTCTGTAACTCCTAACTGCTTAGCTGTTTCCCAAGATTCTAGAAGTTACATTTTCATTTTGATTTAATTCAAAGAATATTTTGATTTCTACTGAGACTTCAATGACCCTCTGATCATTCAAGAGTAGTTTTTGATCTTTAAGTCTGTTTAAGTCATAAGAAATTTTCTACTGTGTTTTTATTTGGTTCATTGAATTTCTAATGTCCAACATTTCTTCTTCTTTTTTTTTTTTTCTTGGTTTTTCAAGACAGGGTTTTTCTGTATAACAAACCTAACTGTCTTGGAACTTGCTCTGTAGACCAGGCTGGCCTTGAACATAGAGATCCACTTGCCTCTGCCTCCCATGGGATTAAAGGTGTGCGCCACCACTGCCCGGCTCTATTTTTTTTTAAATATCTATTTCCAAGCCATGAGTGGTAATGCACGCCTTTAATCATAGGCTTGGGAGGCAGAGGCAGGTGGATCTCTGAGTTCGAGGCCAGCCTGGTTTACAATAGTGAGTTCCAGGACAGCCAGGGCTACACAGAGAAACCTTCTCTCGAAAAACCAATATATATGGATATGTGTTTATATTCAATGTATATATTTACAATATATAAACATACATACAACACACACATATATATATGGAATATATATATATATATATATATATATATATATATATGGAATATATATTTTTTCTGAAGAATTCATCTTCTATATTGGTAACCTTTTCACCATATTGCTGATTTTTATCGTCCATTTCCTTTTGTGTTGCTGACTTTCTTCTCTGGATCCTGGATTGAATTTTTCTGCTTGTGTCTTCTTTGATATCACTATCATTTTTACTAGTAAACTGTGGTGAGAACACAGAAGAATTAAAAAAAAAGATTTGGTTTGGGGCTGGAGAGACGGCTTAGCTGTTAAGAACACTGGCTGCTCTTCCAGAAAACCGAGTTTGATTCCCAATACCTGCATGACTGCTCACTACCATCTGTAACTCCAGTTCCAGGGCGTCTGTTACCTTCTTCTGACCTCCACAGGCACCAGGCATACACCTGGTGCCTAGACATTCATGCAGGCAAAATACCCATATACATAAAATAAAAGTTAGAAAAAAAAAGAAAAGATCCTCCAGAAATAAAAAAAAAAAAATGAGCCTTTCCTGGAACTCACTTGGTAGACCAGGCTGGCCTCGAACTCACAGAGATCCACCTGGCTCTACTTCCCGAGTGCTGGGATTAAAGGTGTGTGCCACCACCGCCCAGCCACTTCTTCCTTTTTCATCCCACTCTTTGGCAATATTTTTACAATGAGTCCTTCTTTCTTACTGTGCTTCATACAGTCATCTCATTTTTTTTTCCTGGAGGATCTTTTCTTATATACCTTTCTGCTTTCTGCCATCACTCCCTGGGATTAAAGGCTCACTTCCTGGGATTAAAGGCATGAGTCACCATGCCTGGCTGTTTCCTGTGTGGCTTTAAAATTCAGAGATCCAGAGGGATCTCTGCCTCTGGAATGCTAGGATTAAAGGTGTGTGTGCCACCATTTTCTGCACTCTGTATCTAGTGGCTGTTCTGTTCTCTGACCCCAGATAAGTTTATTAGGGTGCACAATATTTTGGGGAATACAGTACCACCACAGTCGGTCTACTTTATTCCTCTGGGATAACATCCTATCTACACAGCTTCTGCGCTGACAGCTGTGCTCAGCCCAAACCCCAGTTCAAGCCTCCCTGTAATCATCATCATTGGCAGCATCCGGCCAGGTCCATCCCCAGATGGAGGAGAGTACCTTATCAGAGATACCTCCATACTTTCTAAGAATAGACTTAACCATCCGGGCTACCTGTTTGAGAAGGCCTGGTGGATGTGCCAATTAAGCTCAACTTCCTCCTTTCCCAAACCTTACCTTTAGTTCCAGATCTCCCTTTAACTATCACCAGAGGCATCTAGCAGTACACAGGTTGCCTAGCGACTGAGCACACTTTCCCCCACCCTGGGGTTGCAAATGATAATTAACTTATTGCCTCTCAGTGTGATTCTTATCACCCCTCCGTTTGACCCTGGAAGCTGGCTTTACACTGCTAAGGGAATACTGCTTTTAAGTGTATATATACCAGGACTTCCAGGGCTGGGGGGGGGGGGGCGGATGGAGAAGAGAAAAGAGAATGGAAGAACTAGATGGGTAAGAACTTGCGAGGAACGAACTGAGATGGGGAAGAACTAGATTGAAGGGCTAGAAGAGAGTACTAGAGGAATGAGATGGAAGATGAGGAAGAGCCAGATGGGGAAGTACTAGCTGGGTAAGAACAAGCTGAAAAAGACCTAGATGAGGCAGAATTAAGATGAGAGAATTAAGATAGAACTTAGATAAGTATAGAGAGAAATCGGGCAAGAAAGGAGCTAGGCACGAGAACAGAACTGAAGCTGTGTATAAAGGATGTTATGTCAGAGGAATTAAAGCAAGTGGACTATAGAACTCGGTGTGCTGAGATTATATTTCCTGATAATAGTCCTCGCCGTTAGTTCTCCTGAGCCCCTGGGATGTATAATATTAAGGCTGGTCCCTCTAATATTATACAAGAGATCATCTGCCCCATCTTGGTCTTTCTCCTCTTGTTCTTCCTCATCTAGCTCTTCCTCATCTTCCATCTCATTCTTCTAGTTCTCCATCTAGTTCTCCTGTCAAAATCTTCTCCAGTCAAAATCCTCCCTAAGTCTCTGAGGTTTATAGTTATATACCCAGGCAATAGCAGTCCTCTAGCTAAAGCAAGGTCACCAGGCTTGAATTCTTACAGGGTCATAAAGGCAGACAAGAGTTTTCCTCAGGCAGTGACCCTCAGACTTTCTTTTACAACCCAAAAGGGGAGTGGTAAAGGAGGAGATCAACTCAGAGCCAAAATTGGTTAATACATCAGAAAAAGGGAATTTATGTGCTCACACTACATTCCTAGAGGTGGTTAGGTAAATGTTAGCAGTCTATAATGTTAATATAAATACCACTAAGGCTGTATAAGAAAGGAGAGTCTGAGCTTAATTTACCTTAATTCAGGAGATCGTTTGGCCTTGGATGCTTAATAGGTATTTCAGATAAAATACACTGTTAGGAGTTCTTGGAAGCATACATAGCATACAAGAAAATCATTGCAGGTTTTGACTAATGTATATACAAAAGCTAAAGTATCACCAAGACTTCTTAAGCCATGGCTTGACCTTTAGGAAAGTCCTCAGCCTTTCCAAGTAGTAGCTTTTGTGATAATAGCTGAATTCCACTGCATTTACCTGTGACTTGCAGCAGTTATGAACATGGTGATGCAGGGGTGGTGGTCATTGAGCCTCCAGGCCCTTGGTTATATGCACTGGGAATACTGTGTTTTGATTGTATTGAAGTTATCACATCTATTAATGCATTGTCTCATATTCAGTTTGGTTGCTGAGACACACACACACACACACACACACACACACACACACACACACACACACACACACATTCCAGCCTCATCTTATACAATTCCTGCCATTTCTCCAAGGGTCTCACATTGTTTTAGTAGAAAATGATATTTAGAGACAACAATTTGGGCACTGAGCATGCTGATTTCTATAAGTTTGATCATTGAACTTTTCAACAGTGGTCAGATACATATATATATATATACACACACACACATATTGGGCACTGAGCATGCTGATTTCTATAAGTTTGATCATTGAACTTTTCAACAGTGGTCAGATACATATATATATATATACACACACACACATATATATATACATATATATGTATATATATAATTGTAGGACAGGAAATATAAGCCTTCATTAGTTTGTATTATACTTCTGTTGGGATATGGAGCTGTAGGGTTTTTGATAAAATTCATTAATCTTACAGCTCTCTCTTCTTTCTCCATACAAAGAAAACTAACACCTTTAAAACTAGTCATTTGATTTATTCTAAAACAAATAAACACATGTACACACATGCACACAAACACACACACGTGCACATACACAAGCATGCATATGCTGTACAGGCACACACATATACATGCATGTGCACATATATATGCTGCCATGCACATACATGTGTACACACACACACACACACACACACACACACACACACACACAGAGCCATATAGCAACACACCTGCTCTAGTTCTGGCTATTAAATGTGTTTCTTGTCTTCTCATTTCCTCTAGTTAACAAATGCTCAGGAGAAAAGTAGATATAAAAGCCTTGTTAACTCAGGATTTTTCTCCTTTGTAAGATACCAAACTGTTAAACTGTTCCCATCCTCACTGCTCTCCAGTGCCTTCCGTCTTTCTCCTTGTGTTCAGTTATTCAATTACTCTGAATAATTTAGCCGAGTATTATTGGAAACTCAATTTGTACTACTTGTATACTATAACCCCAACATTTGCTTTTATTTCAAAGGTTCTGAAGCAGAAACAGCTGGATGACTGTCTGAAACATATATCTGTGAGAAGATTTGAATCGTTTAAGCTATTCTCAGTCACAGAAGCCCAAAAAAGGGAAACTGAGGAAGAGGCTGGTGTGTGGGTCCAGTACACAAGCATCCTTTATCCCGAATACAGTATCTCCTTAAGGTGAGCACAGTTCTTGTAGGAAACCCTGTGCGCTGAGCGGCCCGTGTGCCTGCTGTGACTTTGCAGCAATCTTTATTAGAACTCAGCTTTGCAACTTGATGTTGGAAAATCCTGCTGCCTTAGATAGAATCTCTGATGCTTCTATTTCATAAAAAAAAAAAAAAGCAATACACAAGTATCAAATGAAAGCAACAACTTTAAAAAATACTTTTGAAGCCTTCTAAAAAGATAAGCAATTTGGTGCAAATCACTTCACTGGAAGATAGTCTCATTGTAGTTTAACTCATGGCTACTTTATTTCTAAAAACACATTTTTTATTTATCATACATAAATATCATTTATCATATTGTTTGGAAGTCTGTACTCTTGCAAAAATCAATATTTGATGAAGATGTGTTTGTTTACTATCTTGTTAGTGTTTCTGTTGCTGTGAAAAAATACTATGACCAAGGCAACGCCTATAAAAGAAAGCATTTAATTTTAAGCTTGTCAGAGGGTTAGTCCATAATCATCATGGTGGGAAGCAAACAGGCATGATGCTGGAGCAGTACCTTTATATCCTGCTCTGCAGGCAGGAGAGAGAGAGAGAGAGAGAGAGAGAGAGAGAGAGAGAGAGAGAGAGAGAGAGAGAGCGCGCGAGCCTGGCTGGCATGGGCTTTTGAAGCCTCAAAGCCCACACCCAGTAATATACTTCCTCCAGTAAGGCCACACCTCCCAATCCTTCTCACATAGTTCCACTGACCCAGGACCAAGCATTGAAATATATGAGCCTATGGGAGCCATTCTCTTTCAAACTACCATACCTATCTGAGGCTCAAACTTTATGCACTGCTTTTAAGTAAACTCAGTACTTTTAGAAACATTAAAAAAAAACTTTAAAAGAAATGTTGCTACCTTTACTGGGTCTTGCTGTTTTGTCGGACAAGAAAAATAGTTCATTTAAGGAGAAAGTGGGTTGCAAATGGGTTCATTCATCTATTCTCTCAGCATTTGATGATGACAAAAAAGCCAAGTTCTTTGGGGCAAAGAAGACTGAAAGTAAAAGCAGAATCTTTCCAGACTATACTTCAAGTAGTAGTTGTCTGAAAATCTAGCTTTGGTATTTTTCCCATTCATGTTTTGTCATTCTCTGAATAGAACCAGAAAAATAGGAACAGAAACTTCAGCTGAAGATACCGGTCTTCTGAGAAGCATGCAGACTGTTGTAGTTTTTAAAATAATTTGAACAGCCGGGCGGTGGTGGCTCACGCCTTTAATCCCAGCACTCGGGAGGCAGAGCTGTTTGTTTATGTCTGTTTATAGCACGTTAGTTAAGGTTTCTAAATTTTCAAAGGTGCCACAATAGTCAAACATTCCGATAGTTGACTAGGATGGGTATGAAAGAACAGATTTATATTGAGGACTAAGGGGGTCCAGCCCCTCGATAGTCCCCTCCCAGGGTCCGGGAAGAATCTACAACCAGCTGATAATTAATCTTTGATGAAATGAAATGAATATATGTACACGAAACTCCTTAGTTCATACACTTTATTATTATTCTGTGATAGTTCTCTCTCTACACAGCCTCTATTTTGTTCTCATGTCTAGCTCCTTCCTTGCCTGATTTTTTTATATTTGTCTACTGTCCCCTCTAGGTTCTATCTTAATTCCTTCATCTAGTTCTGCCCCTTCTAGGTTCTCATCCATCTTGTTCCTTCCCATATCATTTCCTCTCCTGTCTCCTTCTCTCTCATCTGGCTCTTCCTCATCTTCCATCTTGTTCCTCTAGTACTCTCCTGTAGCCCTTCAATCTACTTCTTCCCCATCTCAGTTTGTTCCTCTCAAGTTCTTACCCATCTAGTTCTTCCATTCTCTTCTCTCCTCTCTGTCTTCTCCTGCCCTCGGAGTCCTGGTATATATTCACTTACAAGCAGTATTCCCTTAGCAGTGCAAAACCAGGCTTCCAGGGTCAAATGGAGGGGTGATAAGAATCACATAGGGAGGCAACAACCATTAATTATCACTTGCAACCCCAAAGGGAAGTGACCAATGGGGAAATGAATTAACTAAAGGCTAAATTCAGGTAATATCTAAGGAGAGGGCTCTTATGTGCTTAACTATAATCTTAAATGTGATTGGTAGAAAGTGTTAAGAATCTATAAGTTGCTAGGTCAATGGGAGAAAATAAGACTGTCTTCTTTTTTCCTGTGGCTCCTATCTGTCCAAGCTGTCTGCCGTTTTTCTGCAGGGTGGGGGAAAGTGTGCTCAGTCTCTAGGCAACCTGTGTACAGCTA